TTTTACTAAAAGTACTTGACAACTGGATCTTAAAAATGCATAACTTCAAAAAAACTTCATTTTTTGTGTATGTTATCTAAGGTTATTAGTCTTCAACCTCTGAAAATTTTTAGTCTGCCATTCCACGAAATATTTAATTAGAATTTTTTTAAATGTTTTTGAACCTTCGAAAATTCCACCTGACAACCGATCAAACAATAGTTTTAAATTGACTGAATGCAGAAAAGTACATTGAATGATGCTCAATAGCTAGTAGATACATTTGTCTTTTAAAATACAACTGGCATATAAGGATCGTAATGGTGCTATGTGGACAAATTTATCGGTTTTTAAGAGCTAAATTGGCAGCGCGTCATCCCTACAATGACTTCCATTTTTACGATTGTAAAAATTGACAGGCGTAATGGGGAGATGATTTTGACGAAGTAGAATCCTGAATTCTCGGTATATGAAACTGGACAGCCTGCTATTTCGGCCTAGCCAGAAACAATATACATATGCTACAGTGCTCGTAAAGCTGGTGACCCGTATTTTTTTCTTTATGCTACAATCAGCCCATTTTCTGTCTGATAAAGATATTCGTATAAAGATTAGCTTTATACTTACAGTAGACATAAAAAGCGTGCCTGGTACAAATGGAACGATGAGCACGGAGAAATAATTTAATTTTGGATGTAACACGTCTTCTGATTGGCTGAAAGGTTTTTGTCTATCAGCTCATAGACATAATTTTGAAATGTGACCATGACGCGTCATCACGTTTTTTCATGATTTACTTCTTAAAAATATAATCAGTATTAATTTATAAGGACTGACTGTAATATTTTTCTGTCTATCGAAATAACATCTAACATGTGATAACCTGCTACGTGGGTTATTAAGGGTGCACCACATTTTTGATGTTATTTCGAATCTATTTGACAGAAAAAAATAGTACAGTCATCCCTTAAATGAACGGGACTTTTTGGCGATTTACGTGATATAAAGTTTCAGCGTAAAGACAATATACATATATAGAACTGTCAAAAATATTTTATTAATTTACGCTCGCTTCGAAACAGTTGAAAAATGCTCGCCAAGGCTCGCAAAATCCTCCTATTTCTAAAGCTCGCGCTAATAAATTATATATTTTTGACAGTATACATATATTGTCTAATTATTATGCCAAAAGACACTTCCAATCTCCTACATTTTTATAAAATAAAATAGGAATTGTACATATATTTTTTCTTAATTGCAAATTTTATGGATTAAATCTTGATTTCCTTATATAATACATTATAATGTATGCATACTTTGAGTCGTAATATCTCGCAAATTTGTCTGGTGACCTATCGTTATTCAGCTGAACATTGAAATATAACATACCTGTCAACTGACCCGGATCCTGCGGGTGTGACCCAAGATTTTCACAATTCTGAGGGGTCACCCGGAACACCCGCCCGCCAGGTGACCAAATAACCCGGGAATTCGGAAAATAACCCGTTTTCACCCGGATTCCTTAGCCTTCAGACTGATTAGATATAAAGTGATTTCAATGAAATACCGGCAAATTCGTAATTCTTCCTGGACAAGAAGTTCAACTAGCTGTGTAAACTCAGCTCAACTGACCCATTTCAGTGCATGGCTTCACATGACAGCTTTGTTAATTAACACCAACTACCTTAGCTTTAGGTCGTAAATAATTTGTGTATTTCAAAGTTGTTTTAAAAACAACTTGTTACTTCCCCTTTTTTTGCCAATAAACAATATACTCCTTAAACTTAAGTTTTTTTTGTAAAAAGATTAAATCTAAAATGAATTGAATGCACAAAAATATCAGAATAATACTTTTACTATTGTTCTACCTAAGAACAATTAAAAAATAAAAATTTTGAAAATTACTTTTTTTCATCTATACCTCCTTTAATTGTTTAACTTTTTTTTTATTATACTCTAATATCATCCCAAATGAGTTATAATGAATAAACCCTGCACAAATCTATATAAAAAAAACACAAATTGGCACATTGTATATCATGAAATGAATATGAACAGGAATTAAGACAATATAACACAAATCTATCAATGGCCTCCAGGTGCAATGAAATAATAATATGTACAATTTTAAATTACTTAAATCTGTGGACATGTTTTGGAAACTTTGATATAAATTATAAGAAAAATGTCCCCTAAATACTGAAATTCAGCTCGAAAAATTCGTACGCGTTATGACCTGAGATTTCATTCTTCTATGCAGGTCATCACCTGCATTTTCATTTTCATAGGTTGACAGGTATGAATATAATCGTTACGTATAAACAATATCTTAAGAGAAAAAAATCGAATTTCTACTGACAATTGTTTTAGGGTATGGTGTTCTCAATAACCTTACAAACAGAAGTTCGATTTTGTTGAAAAAAATGTAATTAGAACAGAAACTTACCTGAAGCACAGAAATGCAACAATACTGGATCAAATTCTTATCAAGAAGACCTCCAGTATATAGACCATCATCTACCAAGCCACTGAGCTTTTCAATCCAAACCTGACAGCACTGGCGTCTCAAAATGTACCAAAAACTCTCTATTCTTTGATTTCCGGTGCTTGGTCTGTAAATAAAAGTTTCTCTTTCTTCTAGGAAGTTTTGAAAAGCTGCTACATGACCATTTTCTGTTCCATGGTCTCCTCGTACTCGAGAAGGACATCCTTTTATCTTGCTAACAGCCTCCATATAGTAGCCTGCAATTATTCTTGGATTTCTACTGGTTGTATATGTATTTAGCCAAATAACCTGTCTCGAGAATCCACCAAGATAGCCATTTATGCAGAGTCCATGCCGTTTTAATTTATCATACGAATCAAGATGCCACACGAAATCGGGGCCCCTTGCAAAATATTGCCTTCGTCTTAATCTTTTCTTTGAGCGCATCTCAACGCCAACATGGTCAAGTAGCTTCATAATCAATTCAACTGTATCACGAGGAACGTTTAGTCCGCTCTGGGTGCACTTTTAGGGTCCTCTTTAAGGTTCTCATACTAATGACAACCCCATGTTGTTCAGCAAGGACCCTTAAGATGTATGTGTACTCAAATCCCACACGAAAATAGAATTTACAAATAAATGTTCTATCCATATCCATTTTAATCTGAAATTGAAAATTAAACGGATATTAGAACTCGACTGTTTATAGTCACGTGCATTTAGTGACCGGAAGTCACCTATTAAATACTGCATTAATTTTCATATTGGTCCCTCCTTTTATTTTTACAGCCAATGATTTTGTATGGGGAACATATGGTTGGAACCCCACTTCCTTTTACACGACTTTCATGTATTGGAACCCCTTTTTAAAAATTGCTGGATCCGTCTCTAATGGTTTTGGACAGTTTATGCTAAGCTGTTTACGAATAGTGTAAATCTAATGGCCTGTTAAAAAAATGGACACGATCCTTATTAATTTCATTTTCACTTTTTGAGGCCCCGTATTTGATACGTGTTTTATATGTCCTTTTGTATCCAATTTAAAGTCAATTAAAATAAAAATAACACATATAAATGTCTTATTTCTATTCACTAATCAATATGTATACAACATATCAACAGGACAAACAGATAAGAAAGACCCAGTCTTTGGTTTCACGTGCATTCATATCTTAAGAGTCATGCATACAAGATATTTGCTAGTTGTAACGTATATATATATAATTCAGCAGAAAAAACTTCAAAATCAAATAGTCGATATGCCACCCTTTGTCTGATTCTTTGAAAGAGTATTACTTAAAAGTGTTCATTCCATATTTAAGGAGTCACCGAGGCTTAATATATATATATTATATATTCGGGTTATGTGCTATGGTAATTAGAGTAAACAATCAAATTGAACGTTACCAAAATAAGATTATTATGGGGTATAATAATTATCTACCCCTAAATTACCGAATACTGTATAAATTAAGACTGTAGCACCGAATGCCCAAGAACCGAATAATGTGAATTTAAACTACTCTCTCATTGAGGTCTAGAGTTTCATAATACGGAGTAAAAAAAATAAGGGAAATTATACCTTAATAAAGGTTATCCTGAAATTTCTTGAAGAAATTTATTAAATTAAACGGACGATAATGTGAGTGATCTTGAACCATTCGCAATAGTGCCCCCCCCCCCCCCCCCCCCCCCCCTGGGCGCCTGTCTACGCCAAAGCCAAAAACTCTTGCCAAACTTAGTCTTGTATTTTTTTTACTTTGGTAGGGTTGCTCTTTGTAACCCCCCCCCCCCCCCCCTCGTGTCCATTCTGTTTTCTAGAATTTAAAAAAGAACATATTTTGTGTCTACTGACCATTAACGTGGCTAACTTTTGCTATTTACAATAGACAATTCTAAACCTACCTTTCTTCTTTGTCCTGTCTGCCATTTTCCGGAAGTCAATATGCACGCGACAACTTCATATCGTACACAGTAACAATAAAACTATCTCGTAATTACGACATAAGGATGTCGTAATTACGAAATTGCGAAATACCCTTGCATTGTTTGAACGCTGTTTCGAAGAGCACGTGCAGTCATAGATGTTGTATTTTATACGTAAATAAAATGTAACTTTTCGAATGCCTCGGCCTATCAAATTCTCGGAATCGTATGAAACTTCTATGTTTTTGAAATTAAATAAAATTATTTGTTATTTGGGGAATTTATTCTTTTCCTTAAGACTAGCACATTTATATTTTATCGAAAAGGTGTATACATGTAAACGGCTGCTCTAAGCAATTTAACGACACAGTTATCATCTATATGACGAAAGCTTCGATCTGCTCATCTGTTCAATAGTTTAAAAGTTAATTGTGCAATCTCCCCCCCCCCCCCCTCTTAAACAATAATCATACGAAGCAGAGATTGTGCCAGGATCTTGTCTTTTGTATGAAAAAAACGGAAACTATTTGTTCATTAGCACTCTTATAAAAACTAATATTTACGAATGGTGACTCTGATTCAGAAAATGAATGAAAAAAAAGTTTATAAATAGCTTAAACTTCTTCATTTTATATTCACAATCTTCAACAAATAAATACATCATTCTGATCACAATTCGCTTTTTTGAGCCTTTAAGACTAAAGTCAATAATAGCGCATTTTTGTCCTAACTCTGGAACTTTGTTTTGTGTTTTTATTTAGTTCTGGTCCTTTACAAGTCTGTATCTCCATTCTTTTACTGCATTCTTTACATTTTACTGTACAACACCAGTGAAATTTACATTCACATTTTTCTGTTATTGTGACTGATTGTGAATAGTAACCCCTTCCACAACACATAATGTCACACCCGTCTGTGCCTAGTGACGATTTATTACAAGCCCTTCCTTCAGTGCCAAGAGATCCTGAAAAACAAACAATTTACAAAGGTAACTGATGTTGTTTATTTTCATTATTGTTTTCATTTATTTGTTCCTTTCTTTACGGAAGGATTGAGAGCTGAAAACAATTCAACTACACAACCTGTTAATATTCCTGTTTAAAATCGGGATCATCTTCAGTAGTGGTCTATGGTAGATCATTGATATTTTTCAAGAAGTCAGGTTGATTTGTCTTCTGTATTTTTATTCGTGTCATTAGGGAGCTGTCTCATTGACGTATGTCCCAGCATGTCTCATTGACGTATGTCCCGGCATGAGATTTGTCAGAGTAGAAAAAAGAAAGTGATAGGACATCAAATTGACGCATTTATCTAATATTTTTTACGGAAATACCCGTGTGTTTGGTGACAATTTTTTGAGTATTCCTATTTTGCTCGCAAAAGTGAAGATTTTTGATGTAAAATCTTGTATCATGCACAAAAAAGAGAGAAGATACCAAAGGGCAATCGAAAATCTTTAAAAAAAAAACAGACAACAGCATGACGAAACTGACGACAAACAATTACAAAACATAACACAGAAAACCTAAGATTGAACAATACGCATCCCAACGAAAAACAGCAAGTGAACCAAAAATGTTTTAAATTTTTTAAACAAATAAAGAGGCGAGTTTGGGCGATAAGTTATTAAAATTGAGTGATTATCCATTTTACATTAGGTTTGGTAAGATTTATTAAAGTGATTATCATAGGACAAAGCGACATAACTCGGATCTAACTGGGTATGTTTCTTGTACTTTTGTGCGTTTGCTCCTTGTTCATTGTTAACTAATAGAGAAAATGAAACAAAAATGAAAAAAAGTGGATATTTTTATAATTCCATAATATTTATAAAGAAAATACCAGGTTTGAATAGTATTTTTTTATGAAGATACGTAGTTGGAATGCCATTCTGTGAAATATGGCCGCAGTTTCAAATAAACCAGTCAATTATCACTTTAATCTCTTGAAATACCTATTCTTTCTGTATTAAGTTCAGAAAAAGATAAGATTGTCAAATCAACATTTCATATATAGAAGCTTACTTGTAGACATTTTAACATTGTACAAACTTTGAGACTGTAGAATGAAAATAACCGTCCGAAATGTAAACAAATACGCATTTTTTTGTCAATATAAAAATAAGAAGATGTGGTATGATTGCCTATGAGACAACTCTCCACCAGAGATCAAATGATGAAGAGGTCAGCAACAATGTTTTTATCGGATATCATATCCATGAATTACTAGTTTCGAGTACAGGACAATATATCGAGATTTGCTGACGGATGATTGAAATATATGTCTCCTTCCGGCTCACCTGATATCAGTCCCTGTCCCTGTACGGGCGATTGTATTGCATAAGTTTTAAATTTTCATTACTACTTATTTTTAAGTGTATAAAAATAAGAAGATGTGGTATGATTGCCAATGAGACAACTCTCCACAAGAGACCAAATGACACAGAAATTAACAACTATAGGTCACCGTACGAACTTCAACAATGAGCAAAGCCCATACCGCATAGTCCGCTATAAAAGGCCCCGAAATGACGAATGTAAAACAAATCAAACGAGAAAACTAACGGCCTAATGTACATGTATGTACAAAATAATGAACGAAAAACCAAATATAATACACAGCAACGAACGACAATTACTGAATTACAGGCTTCTGACTTTGGACAGGCACATACAGAATGTGGCGGGGTTAAACTAGTTTGAAGGCGCCAACCCTCCCCTAACCTGGGAAATTGGTTTAACAGTACAACATAAGAACAAACTATAAAAATCAGTTGCAAAAGGCTTAATTCATCAGATGGATACAACGCGATATGTGTGTCTTCATATTTATGTGGTAAACATTTTCTATGTCAGTTGACCCTGTTCTACTCCCCGAAAAACAAAACAGAGCTTACTGTTACAACCTGATTGAAATATAGATTATGTGTCTACCTTCCTTTCTTCTCTCTGTTGTGAATACCTTTTGGGTTCTCAAACATTTGGTAGGGAGAATACATTTAATTGGTTTAGTTACCAGAGCAGACCTAGCGTTTTCAGATCCTCGTACGCGAAGTGTGGAATTGATAACTGTATTTAATCAAGATTTGATGCTTACTCTGACTTATACTTTGATTAAGTAAAAAAAGGCTAGATTCGTTAAAAACAGGCAAATGTACATGAACAGACTAACAGACGAATAGTGGTTTGTGTCGATTTAGAAGTTTAGATACATATTAATATTCGTTACCCTTTTTGCGAGGAAGTACAGTCAAACGAGCAGTTTTTAATCTGCAATATCAGCAGATTTTTTTATAAAGAAAGTCGTCTTAAGGGATTTTGCTAAGAGCTGAGCAAGACAATACAGACGTCCAGAAGACCGATAAGTTAAAATCAATACCAACGTCTTTAACTAGCATAAACAAATTTTAAAATATACTAAATAGAGACCATATTAGAATACTTGTCCAAATGTAAAATATCTTTAAAAAAAAATTTCGATTGTCCCCTTAGTACTTTTTCTAGAATGGAAAGACCCATATTGTTAGAACAAAATTAAAACCAACCTTAGCAAGTTCTTTGGCATACAGGTGTTGTATGGCACTCATACTACATGTTCTTACTTTTATATTGAGCAAGTACTTGGACATAAAGATCTTGTATGAAAATCATATAACTTTTTATCATTTTTACTTTGAGCAAGTACTTGGGCATAAAGATATTGTATGACAATCATATAACTTCTTATCATTTTTACTTTGAGCAAGTACTTGGGCATAAAGATCTTGTATGACAATCATATAACTTTTTATCATTTTTACTTTGAGCAAGTACTTGGGCATAAAGATCTTGTATGACAATCATATAACTTTTTATCATTTTTACTTTGAGCAAGTACTTGGGCATAAAGGTTTTGTATGACAATCATATAACTTTTTATCATTTTTACTTTGAGCAAGGTACTTGGGCATAAAGATCTTGTATGACAATCATATAACTTCTTGTATGACAATCATATAACTTTTTATCATTTTTACTTTGAGCAAGTACTTGGGCATAAAGATCTTGTATGACAATCATATAACTTTTTATCATTTTTACTTTGAGCAAGTACTTGGACATAAAGATCTTGTATGACAATCATATAACTTTTTATCATTTTTATTTTGAGCAAGTACTTGGGCATAAAGATCTTGTATGACAATCATATAACTTTTTATCATTTTTACTTTGAGCAAGTACTTGGGCATACAGATCTTGTATGACAATCATATAACTTCTTATCATTTTTACTTTGAGCAAGTACTTGGGCATAAAGATCTTGTATGACAATCATATAACTTTTTATCATTTTTACTTTGAGCAAGTACTCGGGCATAAAGATCTTGTATGACAATCATATAACTTCTTATCATTTTTACTTTGAGCAAGTACTCGGGCATAAAGATCTTGTATGACAATCATATAACTTTTTATCATTTTTACTTTGAGCAAGTACTTGGGCATAAAGATCTTGTATGACAATCATATAACTCCTTATCATTTTTACTTTGAGCAAGTACTTGGGCATAAAGATCTTGTATGACAATCATATAACTTTTTATCATTTTTACTTTGAGCAAGTACTTGGACATAAAGATCTTGTATGACAATCATATAACTTTTTATCATTTTTACTTTGAGCAAGAACTTGGGTATAAAGATCTTGTATGACAATCATATAACTTTTTATCATTTTTACTTTGAGCAAGTACTTGGACATAAAGATCTTGTATGACAATCATATAACTTTTTATCATTTTTACTTTGAGCAAGTACTTGGGCATAAAGATCTTGTATGACAATCATATAATTTCTTATCATTTTTAATTTGAGCAAGTACTTGGGCATACAGATCTTGTATGACAATCATATAACTTCTTATCATTTTTACTTTGAGCAAGTACTTGGACATAAAGATCTTGTATGACAATATCACTACATCTTATTATTGTTACGTTGAACAAGTACCTAGGCATAAAGATCTTGTATGACAAATTGAGCAAGTACTTGGGTATAAAGATCTTGTTTGGCACTCATACTACATTTTATTATTTTCATATTAAGCAAGTACTTTGTCATAAAGGTCTTAAAAAGCATCCATACTACATTTTCTTATTTTTATATTGTATAAAAATGTTACCCATTCCTATATCGGTCTCACAGTAATCTGGTGAGTCTTCCAGATACACAAGATCCCGTCTGGTTGGTCTTTTATGGTTTCTGTTAGCAACAATAAGACCGGAGCCATCTTGGTCTATCATGACTTGTGTTGCACCATTATATTTAAGTCTGAGATATTTGCCCACATGTCTAAAAGACTGCATGGCAAGCCAACAAGTTCGAATAGTACATGCACCACTTACACCATGACATTTACAAGTCAGTTTCATAAATTTTTTGACAGCCTGAAATGAATGAACAACAAAATAGTTGAATAGTTTCTCAAATATTTTCAAATATTATGAAACCTCGATGAATAATCATAATGTTAAATAGAATTCCTTACTTTTCACATACATATACATTGTCTTTACGATTGCTCAGTTTTATAATACTTCGATTTTACAACATACGGTAGTACCCTTAGCTTCCTTCTTTCCTATTTTTCAGAACCTACCTATTGCATTGATTGCTAATTTGTTCTCATCCTGGATATGCACGAAATAGTTGCCACTGGACGTTAAGGAAGACAACAATTAATCAATCAATCTGTTGGATTATTAATGATCGAACTGTTTCAATTTTCGTTTTTATTATCTTATAAACGGTTCAATTCTAGCATTTAGTTAATTTAATTTCAAATATGACATATACATATGATTAGCACTTTATAACATATATATTCAAGTATTTTATTTTTACAATATTTTCTGGTACCACTATACCATGAAGAGGTTCCAATAAAAGAGTATAATGACAAATTGGTATTTAACGTCCATTGGCAAATATATCATGCAATAACAGGACGAGAACATGTTAAATGATTTGGTTTATCATTGTTTTATTTGATCAATGATACAAATAGGATTAGACACAATTTTACATACTTATGAAGTCTTCTCCTGTATGCATAAGGATAACAAAATTATATTTAATTAAACATGCAGATACAAAATTAAGAAAATTCTAACTGGAGAATCAATTATAAAAATAACTATATTTGAGTGGTTTTGGAAAGGAGTAGAGGTAGTTCACAATGTAACGGTCCAAGGAAAACATGGCACCCGACGCCGACATATTATTCTTACTTCCTGTCGACCATTCTTTCGCTCTTACCCCCAAATTAATACGTGTGCGTAGCGCAGAAGCAGCAAATATGAATTTTCAAGTCTTTAATTTGACCCGGTTGGCGATCGAATCCTCCAGAAAAAGAAGTCATTCACAAAAATAAGGAAGCTTGTTGAGAGTTACTAATAATCAGAAAGGATTTAGTTTTGAGAATTTTAGAATTACAAAAATGGTAGTAATGTTCCAATGTAAAAGTTATAATCAATCAATGGCTGTATATAATTTTAAAAGTGTACTAACATATACCTTATTCACCAATACGCTGTGTTAGTGAAATCAAAGCTGATAAGTGTTTTATGGTTAAAAATAATCAAAATGCATGGCGACAGAACTATTTTCATAATTATCGGTCATTCGGGAGTTCAAGAAAAGAATGGCAAACCACCGGTACCTACCCTCCGACCAGCTCTGTTGTTGTGCAAATTCATTAAAGCTCTAGAATCTCGTATTCTTTTTTCTTTTGCGTCAATAAACATTCTAGAAAACTGACTTCCCCATCGTACATTATCACTACATCCACCCCATTCAAACCATCCTCGTTTATCTCGACCACGCCCAGATTTTGAGGGATCACAACCACACTGCATCAGATCACCTCTGCTGCATGATCTTGTTACTGCATGGACAACACCTGCTGAAGATATGGCATAGACAAACGATGCTTCCCGGCTTCCTACTTAACAAAAAAAAAATAACAACATAGATTATATCGATTTTTAAGCAATATTTGAGTTGAAATTCAATTTTGATTGAAATAAGAATGCTAGTAGACAATATCAAAAATAATTACAAAAATCATTGCAATTGTATACATATAAATAAGAAGATGTGGTATGAGTGCCAATGAGACAACTCTCCATCCAAGTCACAATATGTAAAAAGTTAACAATTGTAGGTCAAAGTATCATCAAATTAGATTATTTACTGACGTTGCATGTGTCTTCTCGATAAGATTTCATTCACGATCCTTTACCAGATCTTTCACGATCCAATCGCAATACTTGACCACCGTTACTTATTCTTTCACGATCCTTTTCCTCGATATACCGAATGACAGCCGTGTTATGGGGATAATTGGCTATTGGTAACCATAGCCCTGACAAAGTATTTGCACTTCAGCATGAAATTGGTGGATAAAACGATGTTTTTATAGTGCAGAACCTCCAATTATATGACTGCCATTTTATTTATAACTAAGTATAGAGTGAATGTATCCAATCGGACGTAGAAATGTATTGTTATATCCCACACAGTCAAACAGTCCTTTACAATTATTGTATTTATACATCCACCGCTGGCAAACGTCCCTCCTGGTATTAAAAAAGTGATTGTAAGTTACGCTACATTATATAAGATGCCTCACTTGTCATTTGTGTCCCGTACCTTGAAAACCTTTTTTAACCAACTTCTGGTATCTATAAATACATCTTTAGAGAAATAGGAAAGGAAGTTCTTCGACTAACATTTGATACAGTTATTTCGCAGTAAGATTTGTGTGGCGCGTATTGAAGTCTGAATATTTACTGCAAAATCAGAAGTGATACATGTACTTCATATGCATGTGATGAAGTATGTTATTTTCTTATATTGTAAAAAAAAATTATTTCGAAATTTAGATCGTCGCGTTTGTCAATCAGCTTGGTGTGAATATATCCACGGTTGTCCATATCTATGTGTCGTCTGTCTAAATATTAGACATGTAGTTTCTTTAACCTCCTACTTCGCTGGACAAATCATTGATTGATTGAATAATTGTTGTTTGCTTAACGTACAGCGACAAATATTCCATGCATATTCAGGAGGAAGGAAACATTTAAAATTAATATGATAATAAGTACATGTATAATGTTCTACAGTACAGGTCGACCGGGATGAAGGGAGGGAAAATCAAGCTGTCACAGGAAAATTAGGGTAAATTGGACAGGGGAGATATTTTGCCTTGCAACAGGCGATCTACAGAAAGTTGTAGCAGGGGTTCTTTAACATACAGAGAACGTGGCACTATCTCTACACTGGACATCGGATTGCGACCTGACGTGGTTGCGTATTTATACATTCCAGACAGTCGAATAGACGCCCAATTTTATCAAGAGTTTGATTGCCGGACGGGATAAGTTCATTTTTCTATACCCTAGTTAACCCCTTGGAGTTGATAAATCATTGAGATATGGACCAATTATAGAGGACATCATTAATAAACATGTATTTAAGTTTATCATCAATATTGTCTTGAAACGCAAACACAATGTGTTAATTGTCAATAATTGAAAAAAAATCTTAAATGTAGAATTCCATTCCATTTAGAAATGAGTTTGATGCAATTTTTGACTGATACATTTGTACATATATCTACATAATGGATTTTCTGAAATCTAGGCGAATTTTGAGTTTGGCCTCTGCTTTTGATTGTTGTAAATTGTTGAAAACCATACGATTAAGTTTTGATATATTTACATGTTTAATTGTATAGTGGAGTTGCTATCTCATTGGCCTACATTCTCCCTATTTTATTTTACATACCGGTATTTAAAGGGAAAGCAGAATCACATATGGAGCAGATCTGCTAGGGTAACTCCCGGAGAACCTGAGATAACCCTCGATTTTTTATGGGTTTCGTTTTTTTCGTCTTTAGTTTTATATGTAGTGTTTTGAGTATCATATTTTAAAACAAAGTTGTTAATTGATCAAATATGTTGTAATTGCAAGGTCAGGGGCGGATTCAGTTGGGGGGGGGGGGGGGGGGGGATAGACTAAGAAGGCGTACGACCCTTTGATTGGAAAATATATAATGTTTTAGCTTCAAAAGATTTTGCAAACTTTCATTTTATATTTCATGGAAATCCGCCACTACAGATAAGAGTACATTTGAACTGTGCAGTATTTCTGAGGTAGTTAATGCACACCTTAGCTGTGCATTATCCAGATTATAGCACAGTAAGAATAAAGAGATTTTGACTATGTCATGTGTGTTAAGTAAAATTAATGTACCTGTGTCTCAAAAAAAAACGATCTGCTGAGAAGTTGCCGAAACCAATACCTAAATATATATTCGTTCTTTGGTATTTTTTTTACCATCTATAATTATAACTTTCGAATACACTGCAGTTAATGGAACAAAAACCTTATAAGCTGTTTTTGCATAAAAATGTTGCACCTTTTTTTTTTTTAATTTAACCAATTACAAGGAATGTGGTTTTTTTATCATTATATGTTTACACGTACTACTCAGTTCAAATACTACTGTACTTCATGGTAAACATTTGTAGTTTGTTGTATCCGTATATATGTTTCCCCTTGCACTGAAACCGATTGTTCAATTATATTTGCATTCTTCGTTACATTTTATAATATTTGCTATCCCAAGAAATCACATATTATTGTAATTAATATAATTACTCAATAATATGCTAAAGTTCGGCCTTTAAATATGATTAGAATGTATATTTTCCAGTAAGCTATTGTGTGACTGTATACATACACTTTACAGTATTTGTTAGAATAACACATGATGTTACGGTTTGTTTAAGGCCTATTACATGTTATTGTTGGGCTTAGTGTCAAGGGTTTTTGATCTGTAATCGCATCAAAGTGTGAAATTTGACTTTTAAAACTGTGGTTATATATGTTATAGAAGAAAGTAAATTAGGGAATAATACCCCAAACCGCGTTTCTTGATTAAATAATGAAATATCTGTTCATTTAACTGAATAAATATTTCGTTTTGAAATTAGCAAGTGTGCGAAGATTTCTATAATTTATAAACCATGGCTTAATTCGTTTCTGTCTAAACTGTGAATAATGCATTATCGAATAAGACTGGTAAAACCGAGAAGAATGGAGGAAACCCGAAATCGATTTTTTTTTACATTATTATGTTGAAAACATTTTGCTACTGTATTGCATAAAAGAAGAAAAGAAACAATTTCTAGAAATATTTCCATCAGACAATCCTCTGAATTCTACTGTTCCGACCACCTTAGAGATACGCTCAGTTAGCACTTTTATCCCCACAAACATCAATACATCATATATTTTAAAGACAAGACAAGCATCGTATTTTTTCTTTCTGTCATAATCTAGAAACCTGTTAATAGGATAATGAGCGAAAAAAGATAGTAATGCAATAAAACTGAATAGGCACGTGCACTAAGCCGCAATAACTCTGTATCAATTATAACTGTTGAGATAGTGTCAAAGAAAATTACGTTCAGAGGCGGGTGTCATCTTTTTAAAAAGGTGTATGTATTTATAGTTTTTCTCATTAATCAACTTTTAACAAGATCGATGCAAAATATACTATGAATTAGGTAATTGCATATTTTTCTACAAGATGTCATCTTATATGTGACTTCAAAAAATTCTTTGTAATGACAAACTCTGCATGTTGCCTGTTTAAAGGTACTCGTCCAGACAAATGTGGTGTCCAATTCAACGCCACATCTTGCTGACCAGTTTTTGTTTCAACATGGTTAAAATGATAATTGATGAAATAGTTTTCCGTGTATATATTTCCATATGTTGAGTCTATGAATCAAAAGAGTTGACATTCTCTTATAAGCTGATGTCGTCTCGATTCACCGTTCTGGTTGGAACTGTGAGTTAACTACATTACACCTAATTTGAAATGCAGTAGTAACATACAAGAAATATAATCTACAAACGTTGCAAGTAATTTGTATCAGTTTGTAATAGACATTTTCGTATGTGAATTGGTAAGCCTCGGCCTTCTTGACATGCAGAGGTATTTTGAAACTCCAACCATAACATTGAAACAAGCTGCAGAATTCTTTTGGAATATCGCTTTGTTGTAATTAAAAATTTTAAAAATTATAATTTCAAATCGTTTACGGTAAGAGCGCTTAACGTATGGACTGTCCCAGTAATAAGACAAAAGTTACCAATGACGCAAAAGTGTATATGATTAACAAGTTGTTTAACTTTTGGCTTGACGAAGTTTGAATCCGTGGAATTCCCACAAAATCGTGGTCGCGGTTCTTATGAAGTACCAATGCATTAAAAAACTTGTCCATTGAGTAACAATGTTGTCAAAGGGTTTGAAAGTTGATCTATTAATAAATCTAGCTTGTCAACCAGTGATACTGTTGCAGGATTGATGTTCTGTTTGAATCGAAATCACATAAAAAGCCCAAATGGTTTTTAACTATCCTGTTATTTTTTTTTGCTTTGATTGAACATACAAATAAGAAGTAAATTAAACATAGAGTGAAGAATGTCATGTCCCAATCTGATTAAAATACAGGTCCTATGGAAAACTGGAAAAGGAACAGGAAATGACGCACTTATACGATGAACAATCATTCTGGTATTGATTGCGTGTTGCCTGTATACCGTGATGCCCTGGGTTTCAGAACGGTTAAAAGAACGCTTTATTCATAATTTTAAATAGGAAAATACTAGTATCAAGAGCATATATATATATATTGAGTATGCATCTCTCTAGAAGGAAAGAGTTTCGCAGTTGTACTGGAAGTTCAAGAATCTTAAACAGCTGATTATGATAAAGATTATGTAGGCAATAATTGTATATTAAATGCGCAGTGAAATGAGAATATGGTGATGATTATATCATGTTGGTTCATCTTTGAAACTGCGCATTAATGAAATTATTATATATAATTACAGTTAGATCTAGAATTAATTTGACTGTTAACCGCCCAGTAAATATGTAATCTTTTGAAACGAAAATAGTTTAAAAAAAAAAGAAAATTAAAGCAGACTATATCTGAGGACACGAATGCCCCCTCTCAAGCTTTGCAATTTTCTAAGTTGAAAAGGGTCATAACTCTAGAACGGTAAATAACTCAGTGCCCTAAATCGAACTCTGTCTGCGTGTTATAGTTTTTTATACCATTGTGTATGAGTTTCATTAAATTTGGATGAAGCAAACTTAAGTTAGAGTGTGGAAACTAAAATGGGACGGACGGAAGGGCGGACGGAAGGACGGACGGAAGGGCGGACGGAAAGACGGACAGTCAAGGATAACACGTAATGCCCCCGTTGCCTACGACGGGCATAAAAACTCAGTCGGTTTACATTTTTAGTTCAGATGTAATTATAACCAGCGGTTAAATAAATTTCTACGATTCTTCGTTTCCGTTCTAAAATTAAGCACTAATTTTTTAAAGATTCATGATAACCGAAAACAGCACTTAACTCTGGCCCTTAATATGTTATCTCACACACAAAGACATTGACCCCTCTACCAAGAAATTTGTTTTCACACGTATATAAATTGCGGTTTTTATCCAACGCAATCATAGGTTTGAACGTTGTTTTCAATTTAGACTTGTTTATAAATATATATATAAATACTTCGTCTCAAATTTAATTAATTTTTTGTTCTTCCCTCAGAGGGATTCGAATCCCTGCATTTGAGACATCGTGGCAACACCGCCTGTACTGTTTCCTGCGCCCTCGACCACGCGACCAACTATAGGCTATATAAAATATATCTTTCGTTAGTCGAATAATGCCTTTCCTCGTCGGCTTTATCTAGGGTTGTAATACAGTATATGATGTATAGTGGCAAATAGATGGTATACCTTGCAGATTAGCTGGGTTTTTTTTAGGGGGGATGGGGGGGGGGGGGGGGGGTAAATTATATATATATATATAAATCGATTGTGCAAACGTGTTGGAAAATCTGCTTATTTTAATTCAAAACCTGACATTTCTAATTTTTTTTAAATCATATTATGAAAGATGTCTTATCAATTATTATTGTTCTTTTTTAAGAAAGAAAACTAGAAACATGATATAATATTATATTTCAGGATACAGACGAACAACCGCGCTAATATTGAAAACTGTTTTTTGTCGAAATAACTTTTTGGACATAATTGGTATCGACAATGGACATTTGAGCGCCGAAATTTTAGGACATTTTGAGCGAAAATAAAAATAAGCATAGTTTTATTGTTGATATTCACCCCATATGTACCAAGTGTTAGATTAGTTTTATTGATATTAAAGAAATTTATTGGTATTCCTAAACGGAAGATTTTATACACACAGAAGAAGAAGTATACTTAACACTAAATTATTTTCATTTACCTGTGTATAATATGACGCAGGTTTTTTCAAAAGTGATGAATTTCTAAAAACTGTTTAACATTTCACAGTGGTATCATACTTTAACTTTGTTTAAACCTGTTTATTTACTTTTGACCTTAATTATCTATCCCTTATAATTTTTATTAACTATGTATTTGCATTCAGGTATCACAGATCAAACTTATTCGTTCATTGTGTGTTAATTTACGTTTTTTGATTGAGTTAAGCCTTCCAATTGATATTTTATAGTGTGTCTTTCTATGTTGTGATGTTATACTATTGTTTCAGAAAAGGGAGAAGGTTTGGTACCATTAATACGTTTAATCCCGCTGCAAATGTTTGCACCTGTCCTAAGTCAGGAATCTGATGTACAGTAGTTGTCGTCTGTTTATGTAGTTCATACGTGTTTCTCGTTTCTCGTTTTTATATAGATTAGACCATTGGTTTTCCCGTTTGAATGGTTTTACACTAGTAATTTTTGGAGCCCTTTAAACTTGCTGTTCGGTGTGAGCCAATGCTCCGTGTTGAAGGCCGTACCTTGACGTATAATGGTTTACTTTTATAAATTGTTACTTGGATGGAGAGTTGTCTCATTGGCACTCATACCACATCTTCCTATATCTATATATAGGACATTTGAACGAACAAAATTAAGAATGATGAAGGAGTATCTCTTCCGTTCACCAGATAAATTCTATTACCCCTGCTCACCACGGGGAGGTGGAAATAGGATTTTAAACAGGATATAGTTAATAAAATGTGGAGTTTATAACGGACAAAGTTTAAAACATCTTTTAATTGTAAAAAAACAAAGCACTGTCATAAAACTTAAAACTCGGCAATGGCATTATTTACAAGTCAGTTCGGACTTGAAATTTATATCCTAGGCTTTTGGCATAAAAATCCCTCGTTAATCTCTGCTTGCAGTACCGCGAATGCAAGTCCAGGAGATTCTGTTCCTTCTCCTTGTCTGTCCGGCTCTGAAGTGCATCAAAATTGAAACTCCGAATTTTGATGTAAGTCACAGATTGTAATTTGACATTGATGTTAAGGAAAGTATAAATTGATGGGTGACTATGATAAAATTGCTCATTTTAATGGGCATGAAATGATTCGGGTACATTGTTTGTACGATTTGACGTAGATGGAACTACGGCCCAGAGATACGGGGAATACAACGATTTGTCTGTGATGTAAGTTTCAGTCAAGTAATCAACTCAGGACTACACTACCATTAACTAGCCAGAACCAGTCGAATTACTCGAGTGTAAAATAAAATAGAATATATTTATTTTAAAAACTTACTCTATTTTTTACTTTCGAAAAACATTTTCTTAATTCATATAAAAGTATCACAGGAAATTTCGCTCAAACGTCCTATTTGAAAATCCATGTAAGGTTAATATTCCGGCGCTAAAATGTCCTATGATGTCGGCGCTCAAATGACCCTATGTGCATTTTTTATTTTCGATCAAATGTCCTATGCCCATTGGCATTGGGTTCATTAATTTATAAACTCATTATTTCACGACTTATCCATCTCAAATGTTCGTACATCTCAAATGGTCGTAGCGAAGGAAATATACCGTATGAATTACTCGGTTAATATCGTTTTTGCATAAAAAATTTGAAAAAATCGAAGGCACATTATAATTCAATTTTTGTATTTTCCTCTACTCTTGATAGGTTTATTACGCAAAGTAAGAACATTTAATAAAAATGATAGCGGACAATTATTGTTTTACTTGTTGTAGTGGCGAAAACCACAGTTTATCTAGGGAAAACAACTGAAAATGCATATTGGGGGTAGTCTGCCAGCAATATCAATAAAAGAAGAAAGACAGACAGTAGCACAGCATACTCAAACAAATGCTGAAAACCTAAATACTAAATATTTAAAATATATTATCGAGTGTATATATTACCTTTCAACATGATTTTGCCAAAAACGGAAGAATCCCGGTCTAAAGTAGTACAGTTCCATCTATGATTTTGAAATTGTTCTTGGCATTCTAAAACACCAAGTCTTGCACCCTGTCCTATGTTTACCATAACATCAGGATGTAGACGACATAGTCGTCGTTGTCGCCCCACAAGACCAGGAATATTGTCACACAAAATACCTGCCCCTACAGCATGTAAGGGCAACTGGCTAATAAACCTACAAAAGAGAATAGATGCACATTCATCAGTAAGAAACGCTCTTGTGAAACTCCGCTCCCGGCAAAAGATAATATGGAACCTAAAGTAAACCATATAATAGGGGAAACGTCGGATTTGTGTCAATGAGACAGCAATCAAACAACACACATAACCAAAAGATATTCTACCCAAAAACTCATTATTTAAACGCGTAGATGATATCCAGAATTATCTCTGTATCACCTCATTGCTTTACAGTTTTCGCTTTTTCTCTCTCTTTTTTTTTTTTTCTTTTTTTTTTTGTAGATATTTCTAATTTTCAATGATTTTATTTCACATGAGTGAAAGATTTTTTGCTATAAATATACTTGAATGCAATCGATTTCTTCTTCTTTGGTATTAGTTCTTTGAAAACGGATAGTATATGATATTATACATTTGTTTCCCATGGCGATTCTTATAAAATACGCCTGTTCTAATATGAAAAATAAAACCGGACATAATGATAAGATAGAAGAATACTACCGCTATGTTCCTATCTTAATACAATTAATGGATACGAAACGCCAGTTGGAATAAATCAGACTGTTCATATCTTACATATAATACAGACCGTAGAGAGAAAAATTTGACTGTACTTTTAACTTCTTTTATGAATAAGGTTTTTTTCAGGGATCTCAGTTCCGTCCTTTCAAAACAGACAATATCTTGTGAGTTCAGATGATTTTTTTTTTTTCAAATTGGCCGCGGTCTATGATTTGAATTAGAGGATATTCAGCTATAATCTGAAATTTGGAACTATTGTTTTAGGTCTTTGTTTTCCAAACGGCTAAATCTAAAAACAAAGATATAACATCTTGCCGCTTTTCTAGAGAAAAAAAACGCATGTGAAAAATACCAATAGATATTTCAATAAGACAGTTAGGCCGAATTTTTCCTTACCGGGGATATTTCCTTCTATTTTGTTACGGGCTTTGACTATGTAAAACGATTAAATCAGAGTTTGAAATACACGAGACGAGTTTCCTCTGCGATATGCTTTAACCTTTTTTTTACGTGACAGAATTCATGCATCGGAATAAGATCATCAAAATCAGTTGACGTACTTACCACCATGTAGTGTAAGATGGAGTAATATATAATCCAAATAAAATTATCACCAATAATAAATAATAAATTGCCATTCCGTAAGATCCATGAGGATTAGATTTGTCAAAAAATCATTTGAATCAACTGACACAAGTCTAACCCATAGTTAAATTTATAAATCCATTGTACTTTTTTCAGAATTTTTTTCGGTATAATATGAATTTCTTAAGTATAATAAACCATGCACCAGAAACCACAATATAGGATAAACAAAAGAAAACAACAATTCAATTAGTATTATTCCTGATTATGGAATAAGATCACATTTCTTGCACTTTTTCTGTTTTGAATTAAGTAATATCCTTATTATAGTGTTTATTTAAATTTTCTGGTTAGTAAATTTTTTTTTGTAAATTCAACATCATTGGCCGTTTTTAAAGGGCGGCGTTCATTACTGCCAATCCTAAATGAAAAAGAAACCAACGTATTAACTTCAACTGAAAAATTTTCAGCCCAGTAATACTGCCTAACACTCAAAGTAAACAAATCAGCTATGATATACATATAATCTTCCCTCTAACAATAGATAAGGATTACTTATTAATTTTATTATGAATTATTGGATAGGAATAATCCCTTAATGAAATAATTCGAAAATCCAGTTGTGAAATATTCTAATTAATTTTGTTTATACAAATTCTTATTTTCCATATCCGTTATTAAAATTTTTGGAAATCTTTTACTTACGTTTATTTACGAGATTATTGTTTTACCGAGACAAGAAAATTACTAACACACGACTTTTTAGAATGATAATGAAAACAAAGTTGAAATCTGTTAAGGTCAACAACACAGGTGTAATATTTCAAAGAAAAAGAAAAACAAGCAGGTATTTACAAACTGTCAGTGGCAGCAATGATCTGTTTCAGCTTAATAGACTTGTAATTACGGCTTTGATGTATTGATGAGATGTAAATTCAATACGTTCTTTAGATCAGTCAAGATAGATACTTGCTATAAGTACCTTCTTTCATCAGGAAAATCAAACTGGCCAGAAATAGATGGCCAGTGTGAGATAGTTTTACATAAGTAAACGTTATTGCTCGAATTTTAAGGATCTGGATAAGATTTGGTTGTGCTCTCCTATTCCAAAGAAGTCTTACGTTTTCTGTTTTATGAAGAACATCTCCCTTTCTGTGTTAAATATTGTTTTAATCAATTCTTGTCTTGGCTGTAATAGTTCTTGCTAAAATTTATCCAACAATCAACCAGTTTCTTTAAAGAGACCTTTGTTTTGGTCGCTCAAATTCGAAAAATCAGAAAGTGTTAAAATGTATCAAAGAAGATCCTTTCGAACACAAAAGTATATGTCTGACAGACATCAGTATATTTGTTTTTTGAGTTTTTGACTTGCATTTTTGCTTTCGGTCATCAAACCTCTTTCGTTCGAGGAAACACTGTCAATAGTCTCTTAGCATGCTATCAGCCTCACCTCGTAAGATACATATATTGCTACAAAATGTTTTCTACAGTTTATTGATGTGGGCAAACTATCCTTTTTTGTAAATATTTTAAATATTGCTCATATTAAGTTTTACCGTATATTATCACGGTGTAAAATGCCCACTTTATGTCAATTTTAACAGGCTTATGACGTCACAGTGACAACACGAAATAACATTCCATTCGTTTACAATGAATCTTACTCAATTTTGAACGGACTAAGCAATTTTTTATCTTTACCATTACAGAGGCCAAATAATTGCTCTCGTCATAACCTCTTCATTTGGTGCCAAGGATTGAACAGATCTCCACGGTTCTAACATATCACCAGTCAATCATTAACTGTTTGAATTGTTTTACATTTGTCATTCCCGGGCCTTTTATAGCTTGATATGCGGTATTGGTTTTGGTTATTGTTGAAGGTCGTACGGTGACCTATAGTTGCTAACCTTCTACGTCATTTTGGTCTCTGGTGGAGAGTTGTCTCATTAGCAACCGTACCACGTCTTATCTTTATAAAGTGTCAATTTCCGTGCCTGTCGTCTTTTGGTTTAATTTCACAGAGAATGTCCAAGAACTTCAAAATCTAAATCTGATTGTTATACATACACTTAACATATTTATGATCATAACTATAAAATCTTTTTTATTGCAAAAAATATCTCTCTCTATATATATATATATATATATATATATGTATACCATCTTTTCCGCAAGTTTATTGTTTTCTGTTTGGTATATTATTAATAAATTAAGATCCATTTTTACATCTGGTGATCTGTTTATTTGGCAATCGCCATGGCAGTCAGCAGGGTTTAAGAACATCCGTTGTTCGACCTGCTAGTCAAATGCGTTTTGTTAAAATATACTTTTTCACTTTTTTGGTCTTTTGGAAAATGTTGTTTGTGCTGTATTTAGACCATTCTACCAAGAAATTTGTTTTGCATGCACACGTATAAAAATTGCGGTTTTTATCCAACGCAATCATAGGTTTGAACGTTGTTTTCAATTTAGACTTGTTTATATATATATATATATAATTAACTCGTCTAAACATCAGCCCAACATTGTTGGGCTGATGTTTAGACGAGTTGTATATACAGAATGTACACAGCCATGTATCACCATCACTGCTGGTGATCCGATGGATAAATCTGTTGTAGAGTTGTCACTGGTTCAGACGTACTTATATATATATCTACGGTATTGATAAAAAGGTTCTTTGGAAGCATAAAAATCATTCAGCTATTCTAGTGAATATAGTTGCTTTCGATAACTTTTCATGGCTTCATTTGTGACAGAAAAAGGATCAGTGGTTTTTCGCAAACAGCACTATTTGTTAAGGTTCCCAATGCCAACACAATCCGGTATTTTTATGTAGTTTTGGTAAGCAATGCATATTAGAGGACTTCCAATGTTCAGAAGAGACCTTTAGCTGAGATGTAATAATGATATGATTGTCAAATATTTGACTCTAGTTGGAGCACATGAAAGCGTTGAAAGTAGAAGAATTTTCATTCTTAAGAACTTCCGTGTAGTATTTTTGTCACTCCACATCCGCTTGTTGCCTTCTTTGTTAGCCAGTACGAACACACAGTGCTGATAACTTTTACCATTTGATTGTTTCGTCTATATATATGTCAAGAAGATATAACTAAATGGACAAAAATGAGAAAGAACGGAAAATGAGTATTACACTGATGTGTGTTTTCACACAGGACAGTTACACACGTTACACAAAATCCCTAAACGCATTTGACAAAGTCAAAAATAAAGAAATAGCGCTTTTATGGCTGTTCTTCATCTAATATCGCAATGAGGAGTGAAATTGTAGAATGACAAATGCAATAAAACAAGCTTTTTTTATGTGCATTGCATCTCACATATTTTTTAATATATAAATAAGAAGATGTGGTATGAGTGCCAATGAGACAACTCTCCATCCAAGTCACAATATATAAAAAGTAAACAATGATAGGTCAAAAGTACGGCCTTCAACACGGAGCCTTGGCTCACACCGAACAGCAAGCTATAAAGGGCCCAAAAATGACTAGTGTAAAACAATTCAAACAGGAAAACCAACGGTCTAATCTATATAAAAAACGAGAAACGAGAAACACATATATATGAACCACACCAACAAACGACAACCACTGAACAACAGGCTCCTGACTTATGACAGGTGCATACAAATGCAGCGGGTTTAAACAGGCTCCAACCTTTATCCTAACCTGAAACAGTAGTGTAACATTACAACATAAAAAGACACAATATAAAATATCAATTGAAATGGATTAACTCGACAAAAAGATATATAAACAAAAACAAGTAAACATACAATGAACGAATAAGTTTGATCTATGACACAATATAGATACAATATTAATAAAAAAGATGTAAGAACAATGTCAAAAAACAAGTCTAAACAGGGACAAAATGGCGTTAAATGAAATAACGTACACAGGTAAATTTAAATATAACAATTGTGTTGTTAGGAGTACGGAAACATTTTATACAAAATAAATAAATTTGTTCTTCACAGTACGAGTACAGAAGTGAAAATTTTTCGTCATAATAAATACTTATCAAAGGTGGTACATATTAAAAAAAGTGAGAAGAGATACGTAGACATTGAATAACAGAAATGCATTACAAATTGTGTCAACAGGTCAAATTAACTAGAAAGTACGACTTGAGAGTACTCGCAGTTACTGAAAGCTAGTTAAAAGCCAAAAACAATTAATAATAAAAAATCATGGATCAGAGAATAAAATCAATTAAAGGAAATGAGAATGACTTTTGTGATCTATAGTGCAGACTTTGATATCTATAGTAGTCAGTCGACTTCAATAGATGTTGGTTATTCGTCAATGGACACCGACCAAACGACGCACAAAAAAAAGATTCCAAAAACAAAAGACATGTAGAGGTCTCTAATAATAGACATGAGCAAATTCACTCCAAGTCTTAAAAGAATATGAGAATAAAAAAAAGGAGAAAAGAGACTATCAAAGATCGACCATCAAAACCTAATTCCAAAGAAAACAGAACAAAATTTATGATACAATAAAAAAAATATGATATAACAAAAGACATGCACTGACTGGCGAGGTTTCGGACTTGCTACACGAGCGTTTAGTGAAATAAAACTTCTTTCTCTAATATTACTACCACTTTTTAATCTCGATCATTGGAATAACAAATGGTGAAAATAATAATGTATTTGTACAATACAATTGAAATAGAACATGAACATGTACCAATACAACCAATTTATACGGCTTACTAGTACAACATAAAACACGTGTACAAGCGAACTATATATCGATTTTAAGAATGTTCAATCTTACTGAAGTCAATTGAGCTGCATGCAAGTGCGTAGATTACTGATATGAAATCAAGCTCGAATATTGGTGGCTGTATTTCAGAATAGATTTCACACAGCAACGTCAAAAACGTATGAAAAATAGCTATGATTTGTACATTTAAAATGTTGATAAATTTCTGTGGTTAATGGTTAATACTGCTATTATTTTTACAAGTAATTACATCCGATCTAGATCAATGCGATAACTAATATAGTTCTTGTGTTCGTATTTTGTATTATAGATTTTTGGGTGTTTTTTGTTGTTGTATCTTATTCGTGTGATCCTAATCTGATTGTGTGCATTGCAAATGTCAGAAATGGTAAATGATTGGTTTTTTTTCCTATATATCGTAATGTTTTATCATTATGAGAATTTGGTGCTGATGTTAGACCTTTTATAATCTGTCTAATGTTATTTGAAATAAAAGAAGAATGTGTCTGAGGACACGAATAACCCCGCTCAAGCTTTGCAATTTCCCAAGTTAAAAAGGGCCATAATTATAGAATGGTAAATGACTCACTGCCCAAATTCGAACTCTGTCTGCGTGTTGTGGTTCTTAGCATTGTGTATGAAAAGAAAATGGGACGGACGGAAAGAAGGAAGGACGGAAGGACGAACGGTCAATGGTTACACTTAATGCTCCCCTTTGCCTACTGCGAGGACATAGAAATGGGTCGATTTTGGTAAGAGATTAACACATTGTATAGAAATTGTCTATTGTTTATTTCCCTCAAGATGTCTTTTGGTTATTTTTGTCCTTAGTTTATTGTCTTTCTGTCGATTACCCCACATCTCTTTTTATCCATTTTTCGTGATTGCCGGTTTAGCTCAATAGATAAGTTTTTACCATATTTTAATCATATATTAAAAATCATTATAAATATGGATATTGAATACTGTTTTTCTACTTTTATTCTACTTTTGGTCGGCGGGGCTGGTCGATTAAAGAGGTATTAACCTTATTTTTTACATGGTTGGACCCGCATAGTATATACTTCAACATATACCCTTAGACACACCAATCGCAATATTTGTCAGTAAATGTCAAATCAATCTTTTCAATTTCACTATGTCAATTATTTTCAAATCTTCGTGAATGTTTAATAAAACCTTACTATTGGTGTAATTCATCTGTTTACAATCTTACTATTAAGTATAATTGATGTGAAAGACTTGTGCAACTTATCTGAATTCAAATTCCGGACACTAAAGCTTAAAAATGACTGCTTTTTTGATTTTGTAACTTACATTACTTTGAGTTGATTTGTAAATACATTTGTTTCATATATTTGATGTTTTGAATCATATCGATATATTCAATTGCATTTGTGTCTTCTGCTTCAGTCTATTTTGTCATGATCTTTTTACTTAATAACTAAAACTGTATGCTGTAGAACATTTAATAACTAATGATGAATTGAATCCGTGGAAATCCTATTGTAAATTTGTTAAAGAAGTGAAGAACGTTGAAGTAATGAGTCCAATCAAAATCGTTCATCATTAATTATGTTCATTAGGAGGCATTACATATTTATATAAAAATTTTACGCTTTTATCAAAATTCAAAGGATGTTGTCCTAGTAATCCGATAAAAAGAAGAGACATATGTAGCCGGGTACAATATTCAGTTGAGACAGATCATCTGTTATTAGACGATTATAAGTTTCCGGATTAGGAATTTTTAAAATCAAGTATTATATGACGCGTTTCCGAGTTTTGTTTTCATCCAAACATCCTACGTGTACTTTTCAATCTGTATCTTATACTTCTTTAAGTAACAGATCATTGTTGAAAAATAATGACAAGTCAGATGTTCATGGTGAGTACAATGATACAAATTTTCTCTTAAAATATTTTTTTTCATGCTTTGCAGATTTTATAGGACATTCCAAATTATCAAAGTAGACGACGACCAAGGCATTTCTCTGCAAAATCATGAAATATTAAAATCAAATGCATCTGATGTGCAGTACCCTATTTCAAAAATGCTCCAGATTCATTCGATCGGAACTGTTGGCAATTAACTTATATCAAGGAAAAATATGCGGGTTTCTCAAAGTCTCTAGTGTTGTGTTGGCTGCCGCTGGTCTAATCGTCTTTTTACAACGGTGTTCTCTTTCTTTTTTTTTCAATTTATAGCTTTTGATTGCCCTCTTGGAAATTTCTTTTATTTAGCCTAAAGATTTAGAATTGAAAATTAATAGTTGTTGTAACTGTATTAAATTGTGCGACTAAAGTGAATGTGTTGCTGGTGTTTACATTCTAGTTTGCATTGTGTGTCAAGGCGTTTATTTTTTATAGTCCTTCAAAACCAGACATTTGAAGCTTTGTTCCATGTCGAAACGTGTTTATGTTAATGATATTAAGACAGCACATTATATTTTATCAAACAAAACATAAACGGATATACTTTACATGATTCAAGATAAAACGATAAAGTGAAGTAATATTACTGTCCAAGAAGTACTGAAAAAGGCAAGCTTTAAGAAACATTACTACTTTTAGAGGCAAATGGAGTCGACATTTTAGACATTTACTAAAAATTTCGGTTTCTTTGACATTTCTATCCTTTGGACAGACATGCCTAACTTTTTTTTTATTTCAAACGGTTAACACAAGCGGATTTTGGTAAAAACATAAGGAATATCTTTTTTTCGGAAGTGTGCTCTTAATTTATGTAACAATTCTTTGGAAATAATTCTCATATTTATACCCGAAGCTTTGGTCCATGTCAGAACATGTTTATGTTAATGATATTATGAAAGTAAATCATAATTTATCAAACAAAACCCAAACAGATATACTTTACATAATTCACAATAACTGATGAAGTGCAGTAATATTACTGTCCAAGATGTACTAAAAAAAAGCACGCTTTAAGAGACATTATTTATCCGACGAATACCTTAAGTGCTTGTCATATATGAGGAAAGAATCTTGATTTAGTTTTTTTCTGCTTTATTTCTTTGTAAATTATTGTTTGTATTCAAATAAGGCTTTGAATTGTCTCTTTTGTTTTGTCTAACTGTACATTTTTGTAGCTTGCTTTAAAGGGCATACGATACAGTTTTGATCCCACGGTGAATTGTGTACGAAAATTTGCATACAAGCTATTTTTGTACCTTGTCAGTTCAAATATGTTATAAAAAATATACCTTCATGCGCTACTTTTAGAGCCAAATGGTGTCAAAATTTCAGACATTTACTCAAAATTTCGGTTTCTTGGACATTTATATCCTTTGGATAGACATGCCTAACTTTTTGTTCCAAAAGGTAAACACAAGCGGATTTTTGTGAAAACATACAAACATAAGGAATATCTTCTTTTCGGAAGTGTGCTTTTAATTTGTGTAACAATTCCCCTTTTTTTATTAAATTTTCATGATTCAAGGAAAACTGGCATTTTTTGCTTTATATAAATCTAATCAAAACAAAAAATCATCGGTATTTTGTTCATACAAATTGGTACAAAAAATCATCATACATAATCAAGCCAAATGTCATTTTTAAAATGAAGGGTCAATTAACTCGTTTTCAAGCTAAAAATTGAAATCAGTCAAAAAATGCATCTTTTCTCGATATGTCAGGTATGAGCTCTGCCTATTTCTAGTAGTCAAACGTTACTGTGTAAACTATTATACAAGAGATATTCACCAACTTTTACGAAAAAAAAAAAATTAAACAACAACTCCACTGAAACCCAAGGGGAATCAGGTGCTCCGGAGAGGTTATTATTTTTTGTTCCTACAGTAGCAAATTGTTTTCATCTGTTTCATTTTCTTTTCAGATGATATTCGTTTATTTAAAGTGAAGAAGGTATAATTCTACACGATTATTTCACAACCTACTGAGAACTGCAAACTATTTATATATCCGCGACGTACTAATAGTTGCTGTAATAATGTCAGTGGTTCAAATTTAAGATAATTCAAAAATGAGAAGATCAGATTTTAAACATTTTACAATTGGCATCATCGCATTTTTGGTTGTATACTTAATATTGAGACATTACGTGTTCGACGATAAAACGCACCGATCAGCGCATACATACAGAAAGCGTCCACTACACAATGACAGCAATATAGCGTTAGTACTAGAAGCAGCATTACAGATACAGACAGAAGAACTACCTGTCCTGATAACACTTGTCAATGATGGATACGTTAACTTAGTCAAAAGCTGGATATGCAATACGAAACACATGGGATTTCATAAGCAGGTAACAAATACACTTCAATATGTTGAACTGAAACATTAAACAGTTCGATTTTTTACAGACGCGGTCAATAATAATTTCGGTTTGTGACCTGATTTGAAAGGACGCTTATCACGTGACGCTTATGTATGGTAACGGCATGCATGATGTAACAAATCTTTACTCTGATTGGACAAAATTACGGAATTGAGCAAAAACCAACAAAACGATATATACTACAATAAAAGGAAAGCATTACGGACATAAAACCAAGCTTAAGAATGAAATTATCCAGATGAATAAAAATAAATTCAATTAAAGAAGGTGTCATTATCACCACTGTAAAATTGTTTGTATTTTGTAGGCTTTAGGTCAATTTGGCTATTAATAGCTCGAGTGCTATAAATATATCTTATCGACTTTGTGTACTTGCAAGTGCAGTCATAAACTTCCAAGGCGTAATAATAATCTCAAAGAGTACAAAATATTATACTTGAAATAAAGAATGTCAAAATACATATATCGCAAATTTAATTACTTGTCAAAAGCTGTATTATATACATCATCTCCCTTTGGCGTCCGTCCTTTCCGATATACACACCGAAATAGGTTGTATCTCTAATTGTTAAAGTTGTGCTTGACATATAGTTATAATTGACATTTATTCATGTTTCTAAACTGTTTCAAGTTTGTTATTCATTACAGATTGTAACGTACTAATATCTTATGTTTATGTCTATTTCACAGCTATAGGTACTTCTTTATCTCTGAAAAATACCTATATATTATGTATACATTTAGTTAAGTACCATGCAGGATATATTTTAATTCTTTAGAGAAAAGCGTATAAAATCAACTTTCAGAAGCGTCAGCCTTTTGTCGTCAAATTGCGTGCGATATTTTTTTTAACTATGAAAAAAATGATAAAGATTCATTGTTAGTTTTTAAGTCTATGCTCACATCTGAATACACGTCAGATATCTTTTTAAGATTGTACTTGTTTAAATTGGTCTTTTTTTTAATGATTATCAGTTTTAATTTACGATAGCTTCAAAGCTGTGGTTGGTCGCTGATCTCACTGGGGACAAAGTTGAATGCAATCTATCTACTAACATAGGAATAATTAAAATTATCATATTTTCCTTATTTAATTGCTCATAGTACTTGACCTACAATATATAAGATTCAAACAGTTTGATACGCTGTGGTCTGAATACTTTAACCTCGAACACCAAACTCCAAAATTAAAGTAATGATTTCTTGTGTACACGATCCTCAGAGGCAAACCGTTTGAAAGGGAACTAAAAATATAATAACAATAGGCCTATTTCATTGACTGTTCTATGAACCTTTGATTAGACGAAAAAACTTTTACCGTCTAAATATTTTCAATGCACTTGTTTCTCTGAAGCTTTTCAACTACCGACAGTGTACTTTACTTAAGATTTAATGTTAAAACATGACGGATTTCTTTTTTTTTTAAGAGCATACTTGTCGGGAAAGATTTAATCAAATACTTATTTATATTCCATACAATGTATATTTACAGGTTATAATGATTGTGACAAGTCCTCAAGGAACTGATGAGATAAAGAAACTATCACCAGATGTCACTGTTGTTGCTTTGGATGTGGATCAATCTATGAATGGACACCAAGAATATAGCCATGTTGGTTATCTCAAAATCATGGTACTCAGAACTCAGATACAACTCGCCTTACTTCAGAATGATATTGAAGTATATTCTTTTGAATGTGACTCCGTATTTTTGGCAAACCCGTTGCCTAGACTCAGAGCGCATTCTGGTGAGCATGATATTGTGTTTATCAGTAACTACCAGCGACCAAAGGCAATCAATGGTGGATTCCTGTACCTTTTCCCAACCCCGGCAACAAAGGCAACATTTGAACAACTGAACAGAATGATGCTTAAACTATTTTCAAAAATTAGGAATCAACCATCAGATAAATTTGTACCAACCTTTGAAAATGACCAGGTTTATCTGTCGAATCTAGTTCTGGAGAAATATGCAGGTCTTAAATCTACGATTTTACCGTTTTCAATATTTCCAGACGGGAAATGGTACGACATTTCTGAGGAGGAAAGAAAACTGACTTTTCCATATTTAATACATAATAACTGGATAAAGGGTAATACAGCGAAGGAAGGAAGGGCTAAAAAGTGGAGACATTGGTTTTTAAAAGATGATGGTTCGTGTGATTTCAATTTGGCAAAGGAAGTTACTAAAAAAATAATTTACTAGATTTTATCATTTTTTTCATAAACGCCATTCAAGACATCATGTGTATTACGATTTTTCAGTATGTTTACAAGAATGTAAATAAAAGATTTCTAACTAACTGTGTTTTTGAGGTAAACTGAATTTTCAGTGGGGGATTTGGGGGGGGGGGGGGGGGGGGGAGGGGGTATGTCACATAGTCCAACTTAACTATTTCCGGCTAGCCAAACTAAGAAATTCTCCACGTGGTAGGCCATAGAACCAAAGGTAAAGGTAGACATGGCCTCTAAAATGGCTCATAGCACCTTTGCTGTAGACTCGTACTACTTTGTCAGCATAGGGTGGGGGTACCCGGTATGTCAAATAGTCCAACTAAACAAATAACGCGGTATAATCAGTCAAACATTTGTGTGATACTTAAGAAAGTCCTCACAATTTTCATGAAAATTTCGTTCCTAGTGTTATTTCCACCACCAGGCATAGATTGCTTACTTGTATTTGGCAGAACTATTTTGAGATCGGTTGGTTTTCAATGCCCTTCATCTTCATACTTGATTTGGCCTTCAAAATTTGATGATTTGAGTGCCACTGATGAGGCTTGTGAAGACAAAACGTCCGTCCGTCACACCAATTGTCATACTAGTAGTCACAATCCCGTCCTCTTTCCTCGAATGTGTCATTTCAAAATTTATTCTTACCTTGAGCAAAAAGAAGAAGAAACATATTCGATTACTCTCTCTGAGCACTTGAGATCACCAACGATTTATGGTGGGATTCGTGTAGCTCAGTCTGTGGTTTTCAATCTAGTGGTTTGAAGACTCTTATGTGTCTTTTCGTCCTTTTTTCGTGTTTGCCATAATGTTGTCGGTTTCTCTTCGACTTATCAATTGTTCATTTCGTATCTACCGCCTCCTTTTGAAGCAGATTTCAATTACATTTACCTCATTTAATATTTTAGTGTACATGATCAGGCTAATTCTTAGTTTCTGTAAGAAATAATCCAACTTTCTTTTGTCTATAGAATATTAATTGGGACCTCAGACGGGGTTAATCTGACCTTGACCTTATTTACATGGTTCGTTGTCATCGTTTAGTTTTTGCGATTAGGTAAATTTCTCAGTTACTAAAAGTAATAGATAAACTAAATTTTGCTAACATAAGTATTGTAAAGTGTACATGGCCTACTGTCACGGCTATGACCATGACCTCATTTTAACGTTTCGTTGGTAATCGGTATTGTTTTCATTAGATCATTTTCTCGGATACTATAGGTAAAAGATATCAACTATTATTTTTTAATGTATTTAATAAATTTTGGCCTTATTTTTTCATGGTACATTGATCAGTTCAATTTTTCAAGTACTATAGGTAAACTATATTGAAATATACAGTATATGTACGTCTAGCACGGTTCAGCTGACATTAACCTCATATATACATGGATAATTTATCAATATAAAAATAAAGAGATGTGGTATAATTGCCAATTAGACAACTACTGCCTTAGATGGATATGGCTATTATTTTTAGGTTCTTTTTGGTCATATAGCTCTTCAACTGTTTCAGTCCTTTTACATCCTTGGCTTTCCAATATTCGGCATTGAGCATTTCTGGTGAAGATAATTAAAAAAAAGCGCTTCGGACGCATAAAAATTATAAAAAAGCGTTATTGTCATTTGTTTGGTTAATTTATGTAATAGATCATCTATGGTGACCGGTTAAGGCCATTTCGCGTTTTCGCCTTTCATTATCTATAAGGCGAAAACACTAAAATGCGAAGTCGAAAATGCGAAAACGCGAATTCGAAAACACGAAAACGCGAAAACGCGAAATGGTTTCACTCTTGATTTCGCGTTTTTCGACATCACGATTTCGCGTTTTCGCATTTTTGATTTCGCGTTTTCGCGTTTTCGACTTCGCGTTTTCGCCCTATAGAATATGAAAGGCGAAAAGGCGAAATTGCGAAAACACGAATGGCTTTAACCGGCCACCATACTATACACTCATTATACGGTGTAGACCTACATGTCTTGTAACTCGAATAAATCAGCGCCCTCTATCCACTACCGTTTCTCGAAGTTAATAGAGTGATCGTAGTGATCGGAATATAAAGACTGGATAATTCGGGTTAAAATGCTACATATACATACATACATTTCAGAATAGGGAGATGTGATATATTGGCAATGAGACGACTATCAAACAGAGAAAAATGACGTGGACATGTAGATATGAATCGAATAAATATCCAAACATAACTAAACAAATCATAAGTCCATATATACAGCAATATTTGAATATCTGGTATTAAACTAAAAGCAATAAGATATTAACAAAAAATTAAACAAATTTTCTACAATTTAACTAAGAATATTGTAAACAATCGCAGCCTAAGCATTCCCCTTTTCAGGTAGCCTGTTTCTAGCAGTCTTAAATTTTGTTTCTGGAATATTAACTTTATATCCGATGGGCAGTATCAGTAAGACAATGGGCAGTATTGAAATTTTCCATGCAGGTAATTGCAGTATTCTTCCATGCAGGCAAAGGGTAGTAGTCTTCCATGCAGGCATACAGGCAATCACTTATCATTAAATTTTGTAATAAACATATGCAAACTGTGGAATTAACTATTTTTGGAGAGTAAAGAATTCTTTTGATGTTTTAGAAATATTACGTGCTTTTGATGGTCCTTTTACTTTTCAACTCTTTAAACTACACTTCCACACAATCTTATCAAACAAAAATCTCCTATTTAATTAAATGGTCGTTTGAAAAATCTGATTGCAAATGTATTTGCTGCAACTCATATAAAGCCTACTTTTTCTAAAGAGAAAGGGAAATATGCTTAATATACTTACTTGAGGTGTGATGAGATGATTAAATTTTTCTCCTTGACAACATTTATGTACGTTCGGCAATAAATGTTGTCGACAGGTTGTATGTATTCCTATAAATGGGCACCAATTGCGCCCATTTAGTGGCAGATTATTTCTCTGTACTGTTTTGAATCACAGTTTAAGGCCAGGCAAACACACTCAGTACAGACCCGTCTAAATTCCATTTAATTGATAAATTCAACAACCGTTATCTTGATAATATTTTTTCGTTGAATAATCAAGAATTCTCTAAATATACTGCTGACCCAAAGGAATGTATTTTAAGTAAAGCAAATATTAACAGCAATAACTGTTCTTTCCTAGATTTAGATATTTCAGTTTTACACGGGAAACTCCATACAAAAATCTACGACAAATGGACTAGTCTTCGTTCCCTATTTTTCCTTTTTTGGGCGGTGATGTTCCTTTTGGTGCCATTTTACGGGGTTTATATAATACAAGTCGTTCGCTATGCCCGTGTCTGTAGTGACGTTTTGGGTGTCAATGAACGTATTTTATGTATAACTGGTAACTTATTCAGTCATGGATTTCTTAACCATAAATTACATTATTTAAAATCTTTACTAAATTCTTCTAAACTTGTGCGCACACAAAAATGGTTTTCAAAATTTTCAGATCCTTTAAACAACCAAAGCATTATGCCTTTTCAAAATCTGACAGAAACACACCTAGCCAATACACTTATATGCATCAGGTTAGCGACACATGTTTATTTCATCTTTATTTTTTTCAACACGTTTTTACTTGAAATTAATGCTAATTATGAAGAATATACAATGAATAATTGAGGATTTACATTTCAACAGACGTAATTTTTGATAGTTGAAAGGTGTAAATCATAACTATTACTTTGTGATAAAATGTTTACTTATATCTTCCCGATAAATACAGTCACTTTTCCACTCCACTATATCGGATTATAAACGTTGACGCGATAAGCTATCCCCTTACGGAGTAATTGAACAGGAAGTTGTTATATGTCGGAATAAAATAAGATTCCGGTTTACGTCAGCAGCACAACAACACTAAAAAACTCCCGACTCTAAATCATTCAAATAGTAACTGTCATAGATGGGATAGGCACGAGTCATAAACAGTACTGAACGACACGATATCGAGTGCAAGCTCTAGAGTAAATTTGTTTAGAATTTTAGTACGGAATAAGTTAAAGAAAATGTTAGTATTTTCAAACTGTATTAACCGAATAAAATTAGTTCCCCAAAATACAAGACACAATGATTGAACAGCAAAAGTGCAATCATATTAATCTTAATGAATTAGTCTATGAGGGTCTGAATGGGGTTTACTGTATAGGGAATGATGGACAAAAAATGCAGATGATACAGCAGAGATGTGTATATATGTCTCTGGATACAGGGAAAAAAATAAAGAAGAGAAAATTATTGGCAAAAAATTAAAAAAAAAAAAAGTAGAGAATAATGGGCAAAAAAAATAAAGACGAGAAAATTATTGGCAAAAAATAAAAAAAATAAAAAGTAGAGAATAATGGGCAAAAAAAAATAAAGAGAAAATTATTGGCAAAAAATAAAAAAAATAAAAAGTAGAGAATAATGGGCAAAATAAAGAATAGAAAAAAATAGACTGAAAAATTAAAGAATAAAGAAATGTAGTTCCGTCATTCAGACCCTCGTCTGCGCAGTCAAAATGGAGGCTGTTTGAAGGGCAAATCTTTAACTTGTCAACTATATAAATAATAAAACGGTATGAAGTAGGAGGTGAAATTATACAATTGTAGCCTTTGTATGAGGACGATACGAGGTTATATCTACATAAGAGAAACATATTGACTAAGGACGAAGACCGAGGTCGATATGCTTCTCTAGGTCGATATAACATCGTAATGACCTCAACCAAAGGCTACAATTGTTATATCATTAATCAAAACTATTGCATGAACATTGTAAAATTGGGGATTTCTAGAATGTGTTTTAGTAACATGCTGTATACCCTGTGCAATGTGCGGATTTTTAACTTCGAAAAGCTAAACACAACAGTATTGGCGTGCAAACTGAGTAAATAAAAATGTACATGTGATCAGAGACGTAAGACGTATATATGTCTCTGATGTGATCAAGTTTTAACGAATCGCAAATCCTTAAAAATATTCCATCAATAATATAACACTTTTATCAAATTTCGTCAAATGGAATAACACTTCTACGATAAATAATTTAGCAATGTTTTCCGGGCAGCCATTTATGAC